AGGCGGACGGGCCGGCACCGCTTTATCCGGCGCCCCCGCCGCAGGCCCCGGGCTGGGGGCGCGCCCCCACGCCGGCCCCGGAGCCTCCCCGCGGGGCTGGGGCTGGGGCGGCCGCGGGCGGGGGCGGGACCTCCCTGGACGGGCAACGCGGAAACAGCCGCGACGGGCGGCCCCGCACGTCCTCCCGCCCGCCGGGGGCCGCCGTTACCAGGGCGCGGAGCAGCGAGCAGAGAGAAACGCTCCGGGTTTTACGGGCTTGGAGGAGAGACGGGCCCCGGCCAGAGGCGCCCCCCGCGGGGTCGCCCCGCCGCCCCGCCCCACACACCCTGGCCGGGGGGCTCCTGGAGCCTGTATTCCTGTAATTAATTTGTTGTTGTTGTTGTTGTTGTTGTTGTTGTTATCATCATCGTCGTCGTTATTTAGGCTTCCACCCGTCGGAGGTTCACCGAAGAAAGAGCCCGGAGGGTGAGGATTAAGCAGGAAGCCCCCAGCCCGGCATCACCGAGGAGTTCCGTCCACCCAGGGAACGGGAGGCGGTGGGAGTTGAGCGGCCCCTCGGGACCGGGGCTGAGCCGCCGCCCTCCCCACCGGCCTGGGCGTGAGAAGGGCTGGGTGCTGCCCGTGAGCCGCGCTCGCCTGCTGCTGGGGGTTTGTGGGACCCCCGGCTTTCGTGTGTAAATCGGTTTCCACCCATCCTAACTGCAGAGAAAATCTTGGAGACCAGAGCTTGAGGACAAAACCCCAATGGTAAAACAAACTTCAAAGGCATTAACTTTTTAAAGTACAGTATGTTTTGTCAGCAAATATCTATTTTTCACCCACAGCCGGTACTTAACTGTACTGTTACCTGTGTAAAATCAAGTCCAAAGGCTCAGGAGGCACACACGTGTGCACAAACACCCTTTTAGAAGGTCAGGCTATCTCCAAAGTTTCCAATTAAAAACAAAATCAAGAAAGGAAAACAAAATACAGGCACTGTCCCTAAATATATAAAGAGAAGTAGAATCCCTCCCACTTTTATTTTGTAGGCATGACACATAGTAAACAGCATCCTTGATAACAACATGTTTTTTATAAGTAGAATGAGGTTTCCAAATTTGGAACTGAGAAATTTCCAAACTTGGTTCTATACTTTGTGCGTGCCACACCAATTGTCTGGGGTGATTTGCACAGATGATTGCAAAAATACTACATTATTAAACTTCCCTCCGTTCTTTTTCTCATGGAAGAGACACCAAAAAGCATATGCAGACAACCCAGTGCTTTTTGAAGCAACATGGATTTTGAAGCAATATGGATTTAGGAAGGAGGTTTGTTTGTTTTGCATAGGTTGTTTTATTTTTAGCATCAGTCTGCTTGCCAAAAAGCAGCTTCCCAGTGTGAGTGAATACACTGCAGTTCAACTGAGTGTGCAGTCTGTGTCTGGCAGAGGACTGAATGTCAGAGCAGCAGAAACATCACCAAACAGTTTTCTTAGCAGGCACTGCTGTGAGGATGTTCTTGCTACACCTTGACGGAAGAGCTGCACCGCAAGCAGTTCCTTAGGAATGCCGGATAATCTGACTACTCGACATTTGTTTGTCATTTGGTTTAGGGCACTGTAAGAAGAGGAACGAAGGACAAACATCCTGCCTGGCACCCGCTGTGCTGATGGAAAACATGAACACCAGTTTGCCATCAGCTGCTGATCACCAGCTCTGCTGGAGGCTGCCACGTTCGGCAGGCTGTTGGCTAAACCCTTCATGGCAGCGTTCCTTTGCCCTGTCCGCTCCAAGGGAGCTGGTGTGCCACCGTTTCAGCTCTTCGAACCGAACAGCCTCAACTTCATGGTGCTAAACCACAGACCGTGGTCCTGAGTTACTCAGCTGAGCTCTGTGGTGCAGCACAGGAAGGAGGAACACAATTGTCCTCTTCCTGGACATGGCAGCACACGAGCTGGTGTCACCTGTTTGCATCATCAGTCCAACCTGCTGGTGTCTCCAGCAGAGCAGTGGACGGAAATTTCGGGTCTCTCCCAAACTCTCCTGTTATGTAACATTCACGGTGATGAAAACAGGTTGCAAGCACTTTCTTACTTGTGCCTGGAGGTGAGACCTCCTCACTCAGCTGTCTGAGGCTTGTGGCACCTCTAATTACCAAGCTGGAAGGAAGAAAAATTAATAGATGATGCTTAGGATAAGAGTGCTTAGTACTTAAAATATGTTTACCTAAAATACAGCACTGCTGCTTTAATTTCCTAAAGTGCTATCTATTATGTGGTGAGGAAAGCAGAAATGAAGAAACCAGCCCTTACTTCCTCATGTGGAGGCTATCCCAGCTTGCCAGATCATTAACAAACGTTTTAAGCAGCGAAGGGAAAAAATTATGCCATTTGCTCATAAGGCAAAACCATTTGGACTACTACAAATTTCGTAGTAATGTGAAAGGTTTAAGCAAAATAAGGGACAGCAAAAAGAGAAAACAACTGTAAATATTGATAAGAGTTAAGTAATATGGTAGCAATTAATACACATTTCTTATATGTTCCATAACTCTGCGAGACAGGCCTGCAAAAAGATCTACAATTCATAGAAAATAAGCTAAAGCAGTTAAGCCAACATGAATCCCTACTGCAGGAAAATAATTAAAATCAAGGAATTAACAGCACACAAACTCATATTTTAGCGGGAATCAACTGCTACGATTTCGAAAGGAGTAATTTAAAATCAGATGAACCTTTAGAACAGATGTTCAACTACACAGCAAACCCTGCCAAAGGACATGAGTTAAGGAGGCATTTAGTGTTCTCTTATGTGTTTTAAAATGGCTTCTCCTAAAAGAATGGTGCAACCAGGGTCTCAGGCTTCTAAGTACTATTTACCACATTTGCTCTTACAGAAAATGTTGTGATAAAAGCTGAGAGATTTCCTAGTAAAAGAGAGATAGCATTATTAGCAGCCATGAGGCTTTTTGCGTTCCCTAAGCTTGGACCAGATATGTTTAGGGTTATCAACTACACACAACATCAACACAGCACTTAAATTTCCCTGCTTCTTGTTTCACAACAGCCCACCTTGACCTCATCCTGTAATCAGCACACACATTTTGTAGAAACATTTCAATCTCAAGATGATTACTGAAAATGACATTAAAAAAAAGAATGTGAAATTCACTGGTAAGCAATCCATGGTATTGCTTTTCAATTCTGACTATGATTGCATGGGAATGTATTTCTCAGCAGTCATTAGATCAGGGATTTTGGGTCAGGAGCTATATTTGATATGGAGCTTGGTAAGTTGGTGAAGCTGCTTGGATCAATAGTTGTCATCATTTGAGCAGAAAATTAATATGAACATATTTGTTTGCAGACACCCAGAGTCAAGTAACTGGAGGAATCTGTGGATTCAACTAACATACACAATGTAAAACAGAAACCCATTCAAATACTGTTCATAATTTTTTCTAATGCACCTTTAATATTACCTTCAACTTCCAAACCTAAAGCTAGCAGATTTTCCAGTTAGTCCAAGGTAAAGTATTCAATTTTTTGGATGTACCTAGTTCAAATATGCCAGATCTCTCCAATTTCCTACTTATGTGTTAGATTTCCCATGACAATAGCTTGTCAGAAAATGTGAATGAGTCATAACTCCTAAGCCCTGTGAAACAATTTACAGGGATTTAGAAATTGGCAGGGATTATCACAGTTCACACACAAAATTAATACCACCTTTTTCAAATTCTAGCAGCATTCATTCAAACAATATTCTTGATTTGCTTTGAAAATTATGTAGCTCTTTATCCCGGTTTTAGCGGTCCTATTTTTTGTACAAAAATTCCAGCAAGGATATTAATAGCCTCCTTAATTATTAAAAACAACAAGTAAAATGCTCCCTATGCCATAGGAAATTCTAGCTTCTCTAGATTTCAATTTACTATGTTTATGAAGATGGTCAAACACTAAATGAAAAACTCAGTGGATCTATACAATATGAATAGAAATTATTCAGAAGTTAGATTATTAGACCTAATTTTCTTCTTTATGCAGGAAAACCAAGCAGCTGTACTTCAAAAAGGCATGCATAAGGTCCATAATGGGAGAAGTACTGAAATGGAAGCAAATAGATGGAAGTGATTACTTTAATTTCCAAATATTAAATACAAATACTTAAATGTAATTTCTGCAGGATGCCCAGCAAGCAAAACCCATTAGAACTTTGAATCCCTTAGACAGCACTTTTAGAGATGTCTGCTGTATAGTTTTTCTTGTGTCTCAGCAGACTTTCATCTGATGTTCCTAATGAGATTAAATGCATGAAAATACACTTATTCAGTTTTTCTGAACTACAGCAATGGCTGTGTTTCCTATAATGATGTTGAATGTCCTTTTCAGCTACTAATACCAAGTCTTTGGCAGTAAGGCAAGGAATGTCTCTTCATCTGAGTGATATGCTGACCTCACCCAGTGGTGGAGGTGGAGTTTTGTCATTGATTTCAGCAGGTCCAAGATTTCCCTGCATCTGGTATAAAATCACAGCCATTCTTCATGACAAGTAAATATATAGTAATGGCACAAAAGATTCTAAATTCAGAATGAAATTGGAATTAACTGTGACAAAACCATGTTGCACAAAAACTTTACATTCAGTAAGATTTCAGAAGCATTGCTTTGATCTTGTGGTTCATAAAGGCGTCAAGAGAGGTTTAATACCTTTTGTATTTATAAGGTATTTATCTAAACTTTTTATGTTCATGTGGTACACTGAAAATATTAGGCCATTTGTCAATCTTTTAATCAGTAAATTATATGGTGATAAAAAACCCCCTCCCATATACAAGTTGTCATCCTGCCTTCCTTATAGATTGTTGTTGCATTTCAACAATTTTACTCAAATAAACAGTCTCTGAAAAGGAAAAGTTCAGATTATCAGTGAGAAAAAATGGTTTCAGCTTCCAAAGGGTATTCACAGCATAGGAGTTGAAAAG